AAATTCTGGAAAAATTTTGAAAGATATTCTTCACATAGCACCATTATTTTCGTTTCTTCACAGATTTTCTTCCGAAATTTCGTTAAAGAATTGAAGTGTGCGTAATATATTTCATTTTAGAAAATTCGGCAAAAAATCGAATTAAATCTTAACGAATTCTTTAAAATTTCTTTACAATGCAGAATACTCGGAAAAAATGCTTTGCAGGGTTATTTCATTTTAGAAAATTCGGCAAAAATCGAATTAAATCTTAACGAATTCTTTAAAATTTCTTTACAATGCAGAATACTCTGAAAAAATGGTTTGCAGGGATCAAGCCCTTAAAGAGACAAAAGCATTTTAATCAAGTTAAATAAAGAAAAAACTAAACTCTATATTTTTATAGCTAAAACTTACAAAGTGAAAGGCCTTTCTCAAATTTTGAAAAAATATCGATGTTTTTCTTTCAAACATCGAAAACATCGATGTTGCCAGACAATTTAGAAAAAACGTTTGTTCTTAACAGCGGTCGTCCCTCGGCAGGCAATGGCAAACCCTCGAGTGTATTTCTGCCATGAAAAACAGCTTTTCATAAAAATACAATCGCCGTTCGGAGTCGGACCTACAGTTCCCTCCGCTTTGCGTAACAAAATCAAGGCGCACGCCATAAGTCGGAGGAGAAGCTCGGCCAAACACTAACATATGTGTAAGCGCCAATTTATTATTATATTATTATTAAATGGATTTTTACGAAAAGGTTTACATTTATTTCTTTTTCACATCCCTAAACGCCGTGCCAGTATTTCCCAGATGTACGAACAATATAACTGAGTATTTATTATGTGTTTTTAAAAGTGTGCCAGTTAAGCACATTGCGCCCGAAATTTACAGTCACCATATTGCGCCTAACGAAGGGTTAACTTAATAATGACGACTATCAGCCATCACCCGACGTCACAAGCGATTAAGGTAAACAATTAATTTTCTCACTTAACATTGGTGTATACATAATAAAATATATGCAACAAACTGCGAACCACTGCGCTACTAAGAACGCAACCGTTGCAGCATTGTACAGGTGTTCTTCATTCAGCTCACAGAAGGGACAGACTTTTGTGTCCGAAAGATTCATCTAATTAAGTTTATAGCCAGTGAAAGTTCAGAGGCCCTCTCTTCCTAAATTAAGGAGTATAAACCGCGTATCTTGTCTTTGCCCGGGATATTTAATCGAGTGCTTATTGCTTTTTTTGTTTACCCCGTTTTCGCTTTATACGTAAGTATTCCAGGCGGTAGGCCGTTGGATAGCCAAATTCTTTAGAACCGCATTTTGTTTTTAATAGCTTAAAACGCCAGCTTGGAGCGCTTGGTAGGAATTTTAATAGACAAAAAAGTTTCTGAGTGGTTACACTACACGCTTTTTATCAACCCTCATTCCTACTCGATGCTTTCATAGCAAGCCCTTTCTCCGTTTGCGCTGCTGCAGTCTTTGTTTACGATCCGCACTCAATCAGCAACACCAAAGCTTTATTATTATGCCACCTGAGTGCAGTCTCGCTTTGTCACTGTATTCTCGTATGTTCGCCAAGTTTGCATAAACTCGTTGAACAAATTTAAGCAAAAACGGCAACAATACAGGTGTAATTACAAGTATTAGAATTTACTGTAAAACAAAAGTGTTAGAATAGAACTGGGAACGAAGCAAGAGGTGATTGACTTTGTTGAACCCATGCTGCTCAGTAAATTTACAAGGCCTAACAGGCTAACCTAATATTCACGCACGCCGCCAATTTACTGTCAAAAATGTCTCATGCACATACAACTTGTATGGGATCAACCGAAATTGAACGGCGTGCGTATGAAGCTAACTCAATTTCCAATTTTTGTTCTGCGTGACATTTTGATTTGACGTTTCGCTCAATGAATCAAATGCAAACGCACGCAAGCAAATTTCGGGCGACGCAAAAAAAACAAACTCGACTGCGTGCGTACCAAAACGCAAGCCGCGAATATTAGGTTAGCCTGTAATGAATAAGTTTTTCTGGCCAATTCGATTTTTGCGTCCGTTGCGCAGCATGCGTACATGTCGTTGCCTCTTTTAGATGCCGTAAAGTAAAAAATTTTATGAATATGTGCAAATACAATTAAAAAATCGTTGACGTTGCAAGCGAAATAATAGTAACCAGTTACAAGCTCATTGCTATTCGCCCGCGCATATGCCGGAATGAGTGAAACCCGCTTAAGTACCCCCCGCTTAAGTACCTAACCCGCTTAAGTAACCAACATTTTTGCGCACCGTGAATATTTTAATGTAATCTGAAGAAAATCCCTCTCTTAAGTACCTCCCCGCCTATTTACCCAACCCACCTAAGTACCTAAATTTTTCGAATCCCATTTACCATTTTACTTATAATTTTCCCCTTTTAAGTGCGCCCGCAACACGTTCGGCAAAAAAAAATTAAATTCGACGGTAGTTTTTAACCACTAGAAACTTGCACATTATTACACTAAAATTTAATGGGCTATAAACACTTCTGAGAAAATTTTGATGAAAATTTTATGAATTTTTTTTTCAAAATTTTAAGGTTAGGTTTAAGGGCTGTTAGCAGCTCTCAAAAAAAATCACAAGAAATTTTTCTCATTATTCCTGTTGGTTGAAAAAGTACCTTGATTTTAGGCCTGTTTCCAGCTCTCAAGAAAGACGAAAAATTCATATAAAATGACGCACAAGAAATAGAAAAGAAATTTTCTTCTATCAAAATTTCTTAAATCAGTTTGCAGCTCTCAAGAAAAAAATGCTCGTATATTTCCGAGTTCATATGGAATAGTAGCTTTAGTATAATGCGGCATTCGCAGCATACGATTGCGAATGACTCACTGGCGCCGACCCGTTGAAGAACATTTGGCAAATACTTTGTAGTGTTTGAATCAAGTTTACTTTATTTATTAAATATTTGAATTCAAAAGTAATACAAAAACTAGACTTATGCTGTATGCTCAAAAACTGAAAGCGTCGAATTGAATTTCACAACCAATGAATAAGTTAGCGATCATACCCTGTAGTCAAACCGATAAAACTTATCGGCCTTTCAGTGTTGCCGCTACACCACCCCCCTCCTTAGAGGCATCTTTCTCGATTAGGCACTCATCCCAAAAACGTATACGCCGATTTTGCTTACTGGCTCTATTGAACGTTGCTATCTCCTCGTTTGGAACATACGCTGGCTTCAATCTATCGATGGTCACCGTCATAGGTTTGGCTTTAACGAGAATTGTAAATGTTTTCGGGTGGCGCTCCAGCACCTTAAAAGGACCTTCGTATGGAGCTTTTAATGGTGTCCTCACAGTGTCATCCCGCAGGAAAACAAATTTGCAAACCCGTAAATCCTTGGGCACGTAAACCACCTTACTACCATGAGTTGACGTTGCAATAGGACGCATTTTTTCGAAGTATACGTGCAACTTTTGAAGACACTCGTGTTCGACAATACGCGGAGTATCCGCTTCGAAAAAAAAATTCGCCCGGTAGCGTCACCGCCGATCTCAGACCCATCAACACAACAGGGATCTGATCCGTCCAATCATGGTTCCCAGTGTGGCAACGCAACGCGGTCTTAAATACTCTGTGCCATCACTCGACTAAACCATCAGCTTGGGGATGGTAAGCCGTGGTCCGCAGATGTTTAATACCGAACAAATCGCTTTCAAACTGCCGTCCTTGATCGGTGGTTATGTATTTGGGGACCCCAAACCTGCATATCCAACCGCTAAACAAAGCTTTAGCCACTGTCTCCGCTGTAATATTGGGCAGTGGAATAGCTTCCACCCACCTTGAGTAACGGTCAATGCAGGTGAGACAATAGATGTAGCCATTTGATAGCGGAAATGGACCTACTAAATCTATGTTTATATGCTCGAATCGTTTATCAGGTACTGAAAATGTCTGAAGCTCGCTACGTGTATGGCGGGTAATTTTACACCGCTAACATTGCTGACAACTCTTCACCAACGCTCGTATATCGGCGTTCATGCCGTTCCACACGAATTTGCTTGCGATTAGCTTGACGGAAGTTTTGAGGCCCAGGTGAGCAAGCCCATGTTGGACCTCAAATATCACCTTACGAAATGATTTCGTTACGTAGGGCCGGAGTCTACCGGTGGAGGTGTCGCAGACTATATCTATGTGAGAGTTCTGCTTGCTTAACTACAACGAGGTCGCATTTGACTCCATCAAATTTTTAAGCTCCCCGCAACTTGACTGTTCGTCTCGAAGTGCCGCATGGTTTATCGATGAGTTATTAATATTCTCCATGCGTGATAACATGTCTGCAACTATATTATTTTCGCCCAGAACATGCACTATTTTAACCGTAAATTCGCTAATAAAATCTAGCTGTCGTGTCTGCCGAGGGGAAAGCCTTTCCCAATTTTGCTCAAACGCGTGAACCAACGGCTTGTGGTCAGTATAAATCGTAAATTGCGTGCCTTCCAAAAAATAGCGGAAATATTTCACAGCGAAGTAGATCGCCAATAATTCGCGATCATAAGTACTATATCGCTGCTCCGTCTTGCTGAATTTTCTTGAGAAAAATCCCAACGGCTGCCAATCACCTTGCATTCGTTGTTGGAGCACCGCACCCATTGCCTTATCCGACGTGTCGGTCATGAGTGCCAGCTCTGCATCTTTAATCGGAAACCCTAGCAAAGCTGCATTTGCTAATTGGTGTTTTAACTTTTCAAAAGCCGCAGAAGCTTCCGGCATCCAGTTTAACAAAGATTTGTCGCGCTTTTTGCAAGCCCCAATATCTTCTGCACGGGTGTCTCAATCTCGGCCGCATGTGGTAGAAAACGCCGATAAAAGTTAACAGCGCCTAAAAAACTTCTTAGCTCGTGTGCCATTTTAGGCTTTGCTCGAGCGATTAAAGTTTCCACGCGGATTGGTAGTGGCTTAATACCACTTGCTGACACTGAATGGCCCAAAAATTTCACTTCTGGCAAACCGAGCTGACATTTGTCCAGGTTGATCACCAATCCCTTTCGCGATATCGGTCAAAGAGTTTTCGCAGGTGCCCTACATGCTCCTCAACTGACGTTGATGCCACCAATGTGTCGTCCAAATAGGGAAAAACGAAAGGCAGATCTCTAAGCGTGTCGTCCATAAATCGCTGAAACGTCTGGGCTGCATTGCGCAAGCCAAACATCATATATCGGAACTCAAATAGTCCGAATGGTGTACTGATTGCGGTCTTGGGCACGACTGCTGGATGCACCGGTATTTGATGGTATGCCTTTTTGCAGTCGATAACAGAAAAAAATTTCTTTTCAATTAGTTCGCTAGCGAAGTCCTGTATGTGACGGATTGGGTATTTATCCGGGATCGTCTTAGAGTTCTGTCGCCTGTAGTCGCCGCAAGGACGCCAAGTGCCGTCTGCTTTCTTTACTAGATGCAAAGGACTGCTCCATTGATTTTTTTACCGAACGCATATGCCTTTATCCAAGAGATAATTAAATTCTCTTTTCGCTACTTCCAGCCTTTCCGGGGGTAGCCCACGTACCTTTTATGACACTGGCGGCCCCTTTGTCTCAATGATGTGACATATTTGCGTTTCAGTTCCTTTTCGTCGCGCTGGCTCCTTCAACAGATCAGCATATCGGATCACAAGGTCATGAAACACGCTGGTCGATTTAATCGTCGTTATATTTTGATGTTGGCGGGATATTATACACGCGCTACGTAGGTCTGAACCAACGCCTTGTCTCTTACGTCGACAAGCATGCCGAAACGCTTTAAAAAATCTGCTCCCAATATAGGATGCGTCACGTCAGCGATGGTGAATATCCATGTAAAGTTTTTTTGCAGGCCTAGATCCACGGTGAGTTGTTTTTGTCCGTACGTATTTATATGAGTGTTGTTTGCTGCTGCTAATTTTACTAATGAAGCTTGAGAATTGTCGTTACTGTTGCGTGGCAACACAGATATTTCTGCTCCGGTATCCAGTGATCGAACTTCTACCACATTGTGGTAGATCTGCCACTTTTTTGAGCATCTACCACATCTACCACTCAAGGTCTGAAATCTACCACATATTCGCGTTTTTGATTATTTTTATTTTTGCTCGACATAATTTTCTTAACTTTAAGAGCAAAAATTGTCCAACACTAAACACTATATGGTAATAAGAATGATATAATACAAGATTCCGCATTCCCGGCGACGATAAAATTTCTCAAGTAAAAGTAAACAAAGCCGAATGGGTGGATAAAATGAACTGTAAGATATTCAATAAGTAATAAATTTTTCGACAGGAAACGTAGTTTTATTGTGTTAAATTGCAAAATATATGATTTATAAAAATAATTAATAGCGAAAATGTTAAAAAACGGTGATTTTTGTGAAAGTATTAGCAAATTTAAATGCATCTAAAGTTTATAAGGCGTTGTTTACTTTTACTTGAGAATTGTCAAAATTGGCAAATCCCATCTAGCAGTTTCTGGAACGTGCCACATTTCTTCGCTACTTCGTGATGTGATAGAAAGAAAAACTGGCAGCACTCCGCAAGGTTGCAGAAATCTCTTAAAATATGTTCGACAAATATCTTGATATGGAAGGAACTGCTTTACACTGGCAAGGAAAAAATGGCCAAAACTCAACACAGTTTTTAGCAATTTCAATTTTGCACTTTATTATACTAAAATAAAGTTTTTTTAGATTCTAATTAAAAAGTTTACAATTTAGGTGAAACCTTACAATTTTTTTTAATTTCTGTACAAAGCTTGATCCAAACCCAAAGATCTACCACATTATTTTGAAATCTACCACATCTTTTTCCAGATTTTACAACACAGAATTTTTTTAAAGTCCGATCACTGCACGGCTGGTTTATGACCTGGGTTGAAAAATAGGCTACATATATATATAAAGTTCTTTTAGATTCTAATTAAAAAGTTTGCAATTTAGGTGAAACCTTGCAGAATTTTTTTATTTTATGTACAAAGCTTGATCCAAACCCAGAGATCTAAACTAAAAAGGATAGTTTTGAAAGTCTGTCCTTAATGAACAGGCGACATGCTTCAGGCCCTATCCTTTGATTAGTCGCCGAAAAGGACGGGCCAACTAGTTTTCCTGCGCTTCAGGTCGAAAATCACAAGGTGATTTGCACCTGGTGGCACGGGCACCAACTCTGCGATGATACCAGCACAACTCGCCCGCTGGTGATCTTACATTACGAGAGCGCGCACGAGGCGAATAGCTACGCTCATGGGCGTAGCCAGGTAGGGGCAGGGGGGTGCTCGGCTCCCTAACTTTCAAATTTTCCTTATATATATATAAAATAGTACCCTGAAATGCCAGCTTAATAGGGTTAATAGTAAATTCGTTTTTCCATGGATTTGATTTATATTGTGAATTGGTACCTTTTAAACGAGTAGTCTTAAGTAGGAACATTTAAAATTAATTAAATTATTATTTTTTATACCCGAGCGCACTTGTGCACAAGGGTATATTAATTTTGTTCGCATAACGGGTGTTTGTAATAGCCAAAACGAATAGAGATAGATACAGACAAATGTATACATAAATGCTCAGAATGAAAAGAGAAATCGATTAAGCTATGTCTGTCCGTCCGTCCGTCTGTCCGTGTACACGATAACTCGAGCAAAAGCTGAGATATCTCAACGAAATATATGGTATGTAGGTTGCCCTTTATCCAAGGTAGGTTGGTATTGAAAATGGGCGAAATCGGCCTGTAACCACGCCCACTTCCCATATAACGGTATTCGCGAAAAATGCAAAAATTGCGATATTTCAGTAAATATTAGATGCATATTGTTGAAAATTAGTATGTGGAGTAGAATTATGTTAAAAAAACAATATTATTATGAGAGTTTTTGAAAATGGGCGTGGCATCGCCCACTTATGATGAAATGCTGTATTACAGTAGCCGCTTCACCAATCCTTACCAAACTCGGTACGAGGCTTGGGTAGGGTCTAGCTAGGAAATCTGTTGAAAATCTTTGAAACCGGGTAAAAACCACGCCCACCTGCCATATAACGGTAATTTACAGAAACACGAAAATTGCGATAAATCAGTAACTACTGGAGCTAATTCACTTAAAATCGATGATTGCAATAAGCACTTAGCATAAAATTAGAATATTATAAATTTTTAGATAATGGTAACCTCGGTAACCGTTTAACCCATTTGTACCTAACTAGGTTCATTTATATCATTAAGTCTAACTCTGCATATTATCGGAAATGTTTGAAATCGGGTAAACATCACTACATATCATGCAAAGGTAGTTCAGAGAAAGTTGAAACGACGATATTTGATACCTGCGCCGGGTATATAAAGTTTGGTTTCGCCCGACCTTATACTTCTTTACTTGTTTTGTGTTAAATTTGTTTGGGCGGACGATTCGCTCCTAAAATGACTTGGTTATATATAAACGAATTGATCGATTTGTGCCAAATTAACTTATGTAACTTAAAAAGTAAAGAAGTATAAATTCGGGCTTAACCGAACCGGCGCAGGTATCAAATACCGTCGTTTCAACTTTCTTTTCCTGATTTCAAACGTTCCCGATAATATGCTGAGCTAGGCTCTATTCTGCACGTTACCGATGATTTTGTAACCAGAAAATTTTATTACCAAAAAATATTACTACTTCTTGTCACCGCGATTCTAGGTACGTTGGCAACTCAGTTAAAATATTCAGCAATTCAACTATGAAGAATTGTGGATATTCTGGCAATGCATATTCTATGGGGCAGTACTTTGTTAACAGATTATGAGATGGTAACAAAATATATATATGCGAAAAGGGTTTAAAAATTGCCAGGAACTTTATTTACTGGTTACAAAATGTTTATTACCAGCACAGAATAGACCTGTTAAATAAATAATTGAACCAAGTTTTGAAGAAATCTATAAGGCGGTTACCCAGATACACCTTTGTAGTCATAAAATGGGCGGTGTCACTGCCAATTCTTAGACTTTTACTCTTATTAACCTTCGGAGGACACACCTTTTTTATTTGACGTGAACGACACACTGGGGTAAATTGCACCCCAATTGAAATGTTGCTTTTAAAACACACAGCTTAAGCTTTTTTTGCATATATTACGCTGGAAATATTTAGATAAAATAAATTTAAAATGAAATGTCTTATTGAATTTTTCAAAGGTACAAGATCATATAATTGCATGGTTAGCTTTTATTGACATAACGAAAAAGTTTATCAAAAATAGGCTTTGCACTGGGGTGTCTTACACCTGTGTATTAAAAGATATAAGATTTGTGTTTTGGTTATTAATTTGATGAGAGAAAACACAAGTTTCACCCTTCACAATATCAAATTGAGACCTGTAGTCTTTTTGGTTATTTTTGGTTTCAATGTAGCAACGAAAAATATTTCAATGTAGGTTAGGTTAGGTTAGGTAAACGGGTTGCCTCCGCATATGGAGGCACACTTGGACTCGAATGAGCTGTCCATTGTGATGCCCTTAGGGGGAAGAGGGGAAAGGACGCACGGAGGCCGCAAAAAGAGGGTGGGTGGGTAGAGGAAAGAGAAACTCTTAGTCGACTGATGTCCACTCCCAAGATCTCATCGGGAGTGTGGAAAAAGTGCGACCCATAGTATTTTAACTTTAGGGCCGCCAAGGCAGGGAACCAGAGCAGCAGGTGTTGAGATGATTCCACCTCATCGTCCTCCATGTAGCTGGTGCAGTAAGGGTTATTCCTGACAGTCAGCCTTACGGCATGATTACCAATCACGCAGTGACCAGTAAGCACTTCCACCAATAGTGAGGTGTCAAGAGCTCCCCGGACCGCCTCCGTTCCACCCGTAGCCAGGAGGATTTGGTCACCTTGCACTCCAAAGTCTTTGCCCAGCGCTCGCTGAGCTGACCAAACGCCCAGTCAAAATTACTTGGACACACACAAACGAAATAATGGCAATTTTTTTCTAGACCGCTTTCTTGCGAGCTGCATACTGGCCTTTGATATGTAAATACCTTCATTGAAACCTGAGAAATTCTTTCACATTCATGATTATTTTTGTTCGTAATTTATTTCACTTCCTTTGTCAGACCATCGAATAAAACACTGAGATAAAAGGACCAGTAGTTGAATTAAAAGGAAACATACAATATCTATTTACAAATATGGTTAAGTACAACTATGTAAGATTATAAAATTTGGTTTATTTTCGCTATATAAAAACCACTTGCACATGCACTTTACATAAAAATAACAAAACGTGCGAAATTTTAAAATATCTCGTAAAC